TTGTAACACTATAAGTAATACTAATGGAACGTAAATATGTCGAATTACTTATAATAAATCAATACTGGTATTCGACCCAATAAGACATATTCCTTCATAGTTAAACTTGGAAGGGGAAAAAAAGGCATACGGACAATAAATAAATAAATAAATACTAGTAGTTTTTTTCAGAAATTTGATAAGTATGTGGGGTCTCATTGAAATAATTTTGTATGGAATTGGGTTATTGTATTTGCTTACATCCACATGTCCTATTCTGTCATGTTTTCTTGGCCCATGTTGCAAGCCTTCGTCTGCCATTGTCTTTCTGAAAGAATGTAGAATTTTCATCATTTAATAAATAGGCTGGAGGACTGTCATGGTTATTGTCAATTTAAAGGGGATTCTTTCATTTATGTGCCTACTTTTTTGTCTTCAAATCGATAGTGGTTCGTGGGAAAATTATCAAAAACCGTCCTGAATGGAAGCGTTTAGGTCATCGAGAGTTTGTTGACGAAGTTCTAATTAGCCTTAAGCCGAGTGTAGTTATGGAGGTTGGTCATCTTTCTTTAAGTATTGTTCTCAAAAAACCCTATTAGTTTCTTGGGATATGTAAGAAGATATCATGATTTTCTCAATATTATATTTTCGAGCCATGAATTTATACATAATACAATTTACAATCTGGTCAATACTCATTTCATCAATTATAGTTTTAGCAATCTTTTTGTCCTTGAAGGAGCTAGAGTTGAGAATTTTGCTGTCCAGTGCACAGGAAATTGATAACGACATCAAGAAACCCCGAGCTTCATGCAGTCAACTGAACTCATAAAGGCATGTGCTATTTACATTGTTGATCTTATTTCAAATATCAGATCTCAATTCTTACCATTGCTAATAGCAAGAGATCTCCAAAGATGGTTCAGGACTTGAATATTCATTCTTTAACTATATATATGTATTAGATCCCATACCTAAAAGCATCCATACTAATATCTCAAATTGTTATATCGCACGTACAAAACAAACATATTTATTTAAAGAGTTTTTTAGGTATATAAAAAATTGAATCTAAAATTACTTGTTTAAGTGATTAGAATTCTTTTTATTTAAATCAATAACTACCACTATTTTAACTATCACAATTATTGCTTGTTTTAAAAATCCAATCATGTTTGTTTCCATAAATCCAATGTTGGTTTACCAATGGAGCATTCGGTTAGTCACTTTGGTGGATAAATTTGATTTGGTTTTCAAATAACTGAACTCATAAAAATTTAAACCAAACCCAAGCCGAAATATTGTTTGGTTTTTGGTTTTTAGAATTGCAAATTTCAGTTTTTAATTAGCTTTTAAGTGAAAAACTGAATTCTTGTTTTAATATAAAAATGATTCTATAATTCTTCATTTCTTAAACACCATTTTTGTCCTGAGTTAAAGCTTTTATATGTTCATTTGATATGTTAAAAGACCTACTTTTAGTCTTTTTTTCATCAGTTTATATTGAAAAAAAAAAAAAAGACAAGTAAGAAATACCATTTCAAAATTTCGACCAATTACAAAATAGTATCAAACATTAAAGTAAGTACTATAACCAATAAATCATATATATAGAATTTATTTAGCAATCAATTAAAAAAAAATTGAAAAAAATAAATAAAAGGTTGAACAAATAGGGTGGAAGTTTTATGATTTCTTTATGTTAGATTATATATAGATATTTAGACACACTAATATTATTTTATATATTATATTATCTATTTAAATGCATTGATATACACATACACACACAAATGCTCTTTGGTTTTATGTAGAAACTGAACCAAAACTAAAAAATTGAATTAAATTCGATTCGGTTTTAAAAAGGCAAATTTAAAAAAAACAACCAACAAAAATCAAATAGTGTTTGCCTTTGTATCTTACATATAATAGATGGCATAGTTAGAGATGTAAACTTTTGATTAGACCAGAATAAATTATAACTTAGGTAGTGTTTGATAAAACTGAAAATTAAGTATTGAATTTATTAAGTATCGAATTTTAAGTGCTTGAATAATTAAGTATTGAATATGTTCCCGACAAACTCGTTTATTATTTACTCGAAAATTAAGTGCTGAATATAATAAGTTTGTTTGATAAATACCGTTGCTCGAACATATTAAGGCTATATACATGATAATTTTAACCTTGTAATTGTAACATGATACTTTTTTAACACACACACACGTGTTTTTTTAACATATCAATTTTCATCTCGATTGAAAGAATTGAAACCGACCCGGAGATGGATTTTTGCTTTTCCGATGATATTTGGATAATTTTTTAAACCATCTTAACTATTTAAAAATGTACGAGTTAAAGTTATAAGAATATATAAATATAATATAGTAATATTTAAAAAATTTTAAAAATCTATAAACTGAGCATGTTAATCAAAAAGTAATAAGTTAAAAATTTTAACTTATCTAATTAAGTAGATTTTAACTGAACTTGAGTTTTTAATATGAGATTATTTACGTTATCAAACAAACTTTTTATATTAAGTACTACAACTTAATTTTTTAAGCTACTTATATAGGTTATCAAACATCCCCTTAATCTCTTTAGTTTTTTTTTAAAAAAAATAAATAAATTTTCATTTTAAAAAAACTAATTATTTGATCTCTATATTTTTAAATTTTCTTGTAGTTTTTTTTTTTAAGAAATGTGAAAAGGGAAAATATAAGTAAAAAATATGGAAGGATTGATGGTAAAAATGAAATTTTGCAAAATGAAGTAATATTAAATTAAGAGTGATCTATACTAGTCAAAAAAACTAATCATTAGTGTTTGAAACAAAGGAAGTGATTAATTTTTTTTTCAAAAATAGATGAATAATTTATAATTTACTAGACTATATTGCCCCTCTTTATAGCTTTTTCTTTGTTTATTTTAACATGTTCTGTTCTTCATCTTTTTTCTTTTTTAGAAAAAAGAATTAAATTCTTTTTTCAATACTAATAGTGAACAGCTACACGTTAGTTATTTATTTAATTCTTAAAAGATAAGAATTCGTTTGATATTTTATTTGTGCTCATTTTTTTCTTTTTTGCACTTTACTGCTTTATTTCCTACTAAAATCCTCCACTGGACTACGAGAAAAAAAAAATCTTTATCTTCATTGTATTAACAATATCCTACTTCTATCCTTTTTTTTTTTTTTTTTTTTTTTTTTTTATAATTCCTCTAATAACAAGATAAAAAAAATTATTTCAACTCTAAATTGAATTAAAGGAAAGAAAACACTTTTCTTAGTTTGCATGTAACATAAAGTAAAAAATAAATATGAACATAAATTATTTATGTGAATTGTAGTATTAATTTTTTTTTAAAAAAGATTGGAATCATTATTCTACTTTTTTCAAAATATTTTTAAGGAAGCAAATCGAAATTGATTATAAGGTTTCTAATTATTTTACTAGATACATATTCATGTTATCAAGTTATATTTTTTTTTCAAAGCTGATATTTAAAGTAATTTCAATTAAACCTAAAATTTTTATGCATGCTTCATGTTTTCATTTCTGGTCTATATTTAATTTTTTATAATTTTTGAAGTTATTTTTCCTATTTATTTTAATTTATTTAATTTCATGTCTATTCATTAGTTTCTTTAGTTTTTAAATTTAAGTTTAGCCCAGCATTTAATTTTAGTTAAATCTGAAATTATGGAAGTAGATTTTAAACTCAAATATATGTGTTGGGTTTTTATCTTTTGGGTTTTGATAATTAAATTTCAGATTTATTTTAATGTTGAATATTGTTTAAATAATTGATAATTAAATTAGGTACTTAATAAGTGGACCAATTGTGGAATTTTCTATTTTTTAAGGACACATTACCATTCTCCGCCAACCTTGAAAAATATTAAAGAAACAAAAATAAAAAGAAAAATGATGAAAAAAGACATAAAAAAGAAAAAAACAAGCAAAAGAACGGAAGAAATAAATATAAAGAAATATTAGGTGAAAATTAACAAGTATCCTATCTAACGAGGATCGAGACTGATGTTAATTTAAATAAATTACATTTTAATAATTAGGTCGTTTTTCAACATACTAGTTATGTCGAGACTTAAACTGGATCCGATATTAAATTGACGAGACTCACGATGACGAGTCCGACAATCGATTCAATATGATGCTATAAATAAAATTAAAAAATTAATTTGACTTAGGTAGTAAACTTAAAAATTGACTTAAAAATATTTTGAAAAAAATAACACTTTTAGAAGATAAATTTTTCAGATTAAACTAGACGTGGTACCTTTTCTTGAAAATGGTGTTTTTGGGTAATTGATATCTTCTAAAAAACATAACAACTCTTTACCGTATAATCTTTGAACCAATATCATTTCTAGATTTTTTTTTAATTCATTTGATATTAGATGACGATTTCAAAACTTGATTTAACTCACGTCTCAAATAAAAAATAAAATTAATAATATATTTTTTAAAAGTCTCCTAAATATGGGGCAATGAGACTTCGGATCCATCCAAATGAGTCATTTTTTTTGCCTTCCAACTAAATCTTAAATGTCAAGACAAAGACCTTTAACAAAATGAGATTGACTTTTAAACAAATCATTTATGTTTTTTAATGCATTTATGATAAAACATTTTTTATGGTATTTTTTAAATGGACCCTTTTAATCCTAACAAAAAATTATAATTATAACTCTTTCAGGACGGTATCTCACTGACGCTTTGGATCTATCAAAAAAGAGTCCTTTTTCGGCCTTCCAACTAAATCTTAAATGTCAAGACAAATACCTTTAACAAAGTTGTACGTAACAGAAAATTCATTGGAAGGAATTAGCGACTTCCATAGCCCCACGCATCCTATGGCCATGCCACAATACTGAATTCTTTCAAATCTCTCCACTAGAACCCTACCATAATTTAGAGCCACTACTTCTGTTTTGAGCTCATATATATTGCCTCTAAGAGCACATCGGTATTGATTCCTCTTAGCCACCCTCAATGTCTATCCTACCCCAACACAAATACTACCTTGCAAGGTCTCCAACCCATTATCCATGGCACCGCAAACGTGTCATTTTTTCAGCCACTACCACCACTACAAACCCTAAGTCCAGCCCTGACCAGCTAACTATTGAACCACAGCTTGTAAACCCACCAAACCCAGTCCCATCTATTAGCTCCCGTCCTGTGCTCAATGACCCAAGTTTGCAATCAACATGGTCTCACCGTACATGGGTGGCAACTGGGTGCACCACAGTGCTGGTTTCTCTAGCTAAGGGTATAGTAGGTGCAGCTCATTCTCATATCTGGTTTGAGCCCATGTTAGCAGGCTATATTGGGTACATTTTAGCTGACCTTGGATCTGGGGTCTACCACTGGGGTATTGATAACTATGGAAATGAATCGACACCAATTTTTGGCAATCAAATTGAAGCATTTCAAGGTCACCATAAGTGGCCATGGACAATCACCAGGCGTCAATTTGCTAATAACTTGCATGCTCTAGCACGAACAGTAGCATTCTTTGTGCTTCCTATAGACTTGGTTTGTAACGATCCTATTGTAAATTCCTTTGTTGGTGTGTGCGCTGGTTGTATCATGTTTAGCCAGCAATTTCATGCTTGGGCTCATGGAACGAAGAGCAAGTTACCACCACCAGTAGTGGCATTGCAGGATGCCGGATTGCTTGTGTCAAGGTCACAACATGCTGCTCATCATCGGCAACCATATAACAATAACTATTGCATAGTTAGTGGAGTTTGGAATGAATTCTTGGATAAGAATAAGGTTTTTGAGGCACTAGAGATGGCTTTGTATTTTAAGCTTGGAGTGAGACCCAGGTCCTGGAGTGAGCCTACTTCTGACTGGACTGAAGACGCCGAGACCACATCTCAGGTCGCAGTCCAATGATTCTTAGTCAAATACACATGTTTTAGTTCAAATTCAAGATGTGTTGTATATGCATGAAATTGGTAGCAAAATTTGAGGGCACAAATAGTCATCAGATGGCTTCCCGTGATTCCTTCCATATTTTGATCATATCAGGATACTATTTCTTGTAAATTTCTTAGGGAACCATAATTGGAGCCTCTGGCCCTTGATTATCAATCTCAGTCATCTTTTAATTTTTTATGAATCAGAATTTTGTTTACTTTTCGATTAAATATGAGCATAAGCAAAACATACAGAAAAGAATGCAAAGCTGGGTCATCACACATTTCTCTGTACATTGCCATTATGAGAGACACAGCAGAACTGTGAAAATATTTGCCAGAAGCAGTCAATCTCATTCCATCTCTAGCTGAAAAGAATTTCGTTAAATACATTTGGCTGAGAAAGGAAGGCAAGGAGCACAAATTTCTGTCAAAATTGTATTTGAAACTTTCATAGCACCTCCAACACACAAATACGGAGGAGAAACAAATCAAATGCCATGAAATGTTTATGTTTGTGTACAATTAAAATGACGCGTCAAAAAAAGAGCCGCATATTACATATCAGAACCCACTGAAGAGGAGATGGAAGACACACAGGGGAACCAATAGCGGCGTTTGCCGTCTCTATGGCCATCGTCAATCATAGCAAGTCCTTCCTGCATATATACCAATAAGGATTTAAGAACCCCATGGATCCAATTGGTTGAGAAGCAAGGATGCCTTGTACAAGAGAAATTGGACTAAGCATAATCAAGAAGTGTAACAAACACTTACATCTAATAAAGTATCAAGGGCATCGGTAGCACGACCAGATGTCCAAGAAAGCCGTCTCTCTACCTCATCAACAGTCACAAAACCTTGAGCCTGACAAAATTAAGAAGTTCAATGCAGCATAAAACACTTGTTCATAGAGAAAGATGGTATTAGATATGGAAAATAGAAAAAACCTGAGCCAGCTCCAGAATTTCATTATGGTCTTTGTTCAATTCAGTTGGAACTGATCGAACAAACTTTCTTTTCCCAACAGAAATCACCTCAAAACCACTACCCAATATCTGAAAAAATTCAAGCTCTGGATGTGAATAATGTATCACAGTCAACTAACAAACAATAATAATGTTTCACTCAGTCAACCAACAAACAATGCCGGGTACTAACTGTGGATGTGTAACTCTATTGCTGATCATGAAAGACAGTAACTTTTGTTTATTTTAGCAAAGAAAAGAAAATGGCAATAGTGCATGCTTGAAACACAACATTATGAAAGCAAATGAAAAGACTAATATATCTTACAGCAGGCATTATGCATCTAAACTATTTTGCAAACAGCATACAAATAATTCCATGCTTCCCCCAACACCAACCCCTGCCGACAATGGGACGAAAATTTAAGCAAAAACACTGTACACATAAAAATCTTCTGTTGCCTCAACTCAATAGTAAATGAACTTCACCTTGCATTTGCATCTTGTTTCTCAAACAGAGCTAGCATCAATACCACATGTATCACAAAAATCAAATACAAACCTTCAGCTTACTTATAGCACGCAAACAGTCATCCTCCGACACAGCTTCACGATCACTTTTTCGTTTCTGGCGAAGCAGAGTGCAGAGTTCATGCAGGTTGATCAAACCTCCGTTGTGAGGTCTTGTTGCCAAGCATATCTCGACAATTTGCACTCCTGGCTAGCCAAGTAGATATATATCATTAATGAACTTTTAACAGAACCATTGAATAACATGATATATGCTGAAAAGAGGCGACTTGAAAAATGGAATGCAGGAACGTGAGGAGCAAAAAGATTTCCAAGTCACAACCTAATACCTTGAGAACAAAGAATCACATAATGCACCAAAGTGTATTGGATTCATCATCAGAAAAAATGCAACTGTTTTTTTTTTTTTTTGAAATACAACCCTCTCTAATTGGTAATCTCCCAAAGATCTTTGAATTTATAGCCATAAGGATTTCAGTCCTCAATAATTACATTTGAGCTCAATTTGAGACTAATCAAAATTCTTAATCATGAGTAATTAATATTAGTTGAATAACTTTGTATGTGATGTATTCTTGCAAACATGTCAAATGATTCCAATACAAACTGCAATTACATGTTCTTAGTATGAATTTAAAACATTCTTGTAAACAACACATACACATTCTCGTCTAGCATCAAAGACACTCGATACCTCTAACACATTCGAGATACAATAGTCCATAATCAAGAAAGAAACAGTACAAACCAAGTTCATAATAGAAGTCACCAATCCCTAACAGCTCTGCCCAAAAACCCTTATTCGATGCCAAAGGATCCACCCCAACTTTAGCACACATCTCATGGAATTGCGCCCTGAAAGTTGGGTTCTTTCGAATATCATTCTGCACCAACCCACTTCAACATTTCAATACCACTTCCCATAAAAATCACAACTTCGACAATCATAATATTTCCTCTTTCATTTTTCTTCTAAAACCCATCAAAATTTTACAAAATTAGCAACCGGGTCAGGAATAAATTTATCAGAAAAGCCCAATAATTATACTTTTTTTTTTTAACCATAACAGAACCAAACACCTTTAAAATTCACAAGTTCAGCATTAAAGATCCTAACTTTTTATCTTCATGTTGACATAATATAGATATTATCAGCTGACCTTGTGTTTGCGGGCAAATTCTTCAAGCTGAGAACGAAAAGTGGCAAGCTGTTCTTTCATAAGATCAGTTCTTAGCTTTGCTACATTTTCTCCCAGTAATCGATAATGATCCTTCAATAGCATTACAAGAAATCCAAAATAAATAAATAAATATTGAACAGGAGTGAGAAACTAAATGGAAATCAATCAAATCAAATAGAAGAAAAAGTAGTTACCCTTGCAGCAGCTGCTGTTTGTAACCCACCAATACCAGGTCTCCTTCTCATTCCTTTTGATTAAAGATGGCTTATTTGATTGATATCTTTTGTGGGTTTTGATCAAAGTTCTGAAATTTTGAATTGCTTTCTTAGCTTTGTAAATTTTTTTACGGTGGTGGTGCAGAGAAGGGAAAGAGAGAGACGGTGTCAAAGAAGAAATAAAGAACAGAAACTTCACGTACATTTTGGGTTATATATTTATGCTGCATCTTATTAGCAACAATCAGAGTGGCGCAGCGGAAGCGTGGTGGGCCCATAACCCACAGGTCCCTGGATCGAAACCAGGCTCTGATAAAGAGTAGCTTCTTCCACTCCTTAATTTTTTGTTTAATCGCCCCATGTTATTATTTTCTATTTGCAATTACGTCCCTCCTTTTGTTTTCTCAATTTAATCTCTACCTCTTACATGTATTTCTTTCCTATTTGTAATTGTTTGCCTTCCAATATATTGGATTCCTGCATTTTTTATCTAATTTGCAACTAGATTACATGCTAAAGATGACGCATCCCCTATACAGCTAAACCATTCAATGGATCCAAAAATTAAAAAAAGCATGACCATGGCTAATGTAAACGATGCACTAACTTACAAGGATTTGTTTGATGTTGCTCTACTTTGCTATACTAACAGTGGCTTGCTGTTTCTCTAGCATCCAACAATATATCATTTGCAAGTACTGATGATCTCAAGTTGCTACCATTTTCACCTCCTGGCTATTTCTCCGTCACTTTGTAATCTTGTTAGGTACGGTTTGGGAGTCTCTTTGATTTGGAGACTGTATTTCATAGCTTGTCTGAGAATGATCTTTTTTTCCCATAAAAATAACAGTTTTAATGGAGTGTTAATTATATGAAAATCCCAAAACTCAAAATTTGCCCTTTTGGGTACCACAAAGTGACAACAATCTGACCTTGCTTTGAATAAACATCGCAACACTAATATTTTCTGTATTTCAAATTGAGCAAAAATTAAAACTGTTCTACAAGCCTTGTACATCAGTGTATGGTCATCAAAACCAGAGTTAATTTGAGAACTATAATCAAAGGCATCTATTTCCTTCAATCCTCAAGAGAGCACTTCGTATATCTCAGCCACTACTTGGCAGTAACAAAATAAATTCAGTGACAATATTTCAGCTCATTTTTCAGTTCTAAGTCATACTTTCTTGTATTGGGAAAATGAATTCTGTTCCCTACCTATGCTGATACCCCTGTGGCTTCTTTTGGTATCAAAAATAGAAAAGCAATTGGAATGAAAGTGCAAAGGACTTGGATGGCAATGCCCAAACCAAGGTTGTCAAAAGATCCTGACGACAGGTTCAAAATCGAGGCCAACCCAGCACCAACAAATGACCCCAGTGTGGAACCTAAGTTGTTTATCGACATAAAGAGGGCAAATAGTGTTCCTTCAATTCCTGGAGGGCATAACTGCCCGGATAAGATGAGGAATGGCATGAACCTGCAGAATAAAGGCCAGAAATGTGAGAAAACAAAAGTTACTCAGTTTGGTTTGGTGCATTCAAGGATTATGGACAGATATATGTGTGTGTGCGCGTGCGCACACATTATTGCATGCATCCATAAACGCATGATGTCAATGCATGACATACAAGCATATGATCGATCGATCTCTCTCTCTCTTTCTTACGGGAACTTGCAGATGATTTCTGGGTCTGGAATCCAAAGTTAAGGGTCTCTTTTTTCTTTGTTTTGAGGAGAATACAAGCATTAGCTTCCAAATAAATTAATAGAAAAGCTAGGAACTTAAAAAAACATGAGCATACTTGAATTGATTAACAGCATCAGCGAGAGCAGATCCAGAGACGACCATGATCTTATCTGAAATTCCATAGGCAAGATTCACTCGAGAAACTAAAATTATATCTAGGAGGGTCAACAAAGACAACCCAACATGAGCCCACCTGCATAAGTAGCATTAAGCAAATTAAATTGAAGAAGAAACATATTTGTTGAAAATTGTATTCACGCTGCTAAGTACTTACAAGAGAATCTTCCGTAGTTTCATGGTCTTTAAGTAGCGACTGTATGTAAAGGTTCCTAGCATGAGGCCTAACCATCCAACAACACGTGCAGTCCCCAAAAAGGATGCATCCAAGTTCAAGACCTCTGTCTGGTAATAGAACATGACTGTTGAGAGGTTTGGAACAGTAACCTGTGCTAGGAAAAACCAAGCCATTGGTCTGGTGTTCCAAAGATCAAAGTAAAATCAAAAGCAAATATGATTAGAAGAATAAACTAATGTGAAATAGAGTACATTAAGGAAACAAATCCAGCACAGCAAGCTAGATTGACACCAAGGTAGGCACATTAAACAGCATTTACATCCCATAAATGTGGGAAAAAAAAAAAAATCTCATCACATAAATCAAGAACCCATTCTGCAGACTATTCTGGATTATTGACCATCATATATTCACCATCAAGTGACAGCTATCATCTCTCTGAGTGGCTGATAATGCTACGCCTTAAAGGAGGGCCATACTAATATATCAACATCAAATTCTATAGAATCGTGCAACTGATAATTTAAAAGGTTTTAGCATTTACCTCAAAATTACTGGCTGCCTAAAAGCACGTAACAAACTGTAAGTAGCTGTTTTCAGAGAGTGGTACCAACGTGATATTAAGGAATCACCCTTGGAAATCTCGGATTTAGTACTCATACCAGCCCTCTTTTTTCCATTCTTTTGGCTCTTCTTCCTTCTTGAAGTACTTGTACTGGACTTCTTCAGCAAGATACTATCTTCGTCCGAAATACTAACATTCCCATTCACAGGATGGGAGTTGCTTGAATTGGCAGACTCGGGAAAAACTTTACTGTCTGCAGAATTCTCCCCAACCAAACCACATGATAATAACTGTATGGTTGGCAGTACAGAAAAAAGAATGAAAATCGTATCTATTTGTAAGTTGGTCAATGCATGTCCTCCTAACAAACTGCCTGAGATTCCACCCAAAGCCATTGACAACCAAGACATGGACTGCAGATCTCCAGCAAATGAAGCCCTGTTTAATGGTATCTGTGAGCTTTTATATTCTTAAGAAAAGTTAACTAAACTGTGTATTTGAGAGAACAATCTGACAACATAATGAGGCTATCCAGATTTCTTGAGCATATCGAAAGGTACCCCCATATGATATTTGACAGGATAAACCTCCCACTCATCCACATCTTTTTACAATAAAATCCTAAGTTAACACATATAGATAGTTAGGTTGCATGCCAATTACTTCGTACATTGTCAACCAACAAAATATGTAGACGGGTCTGTAACTAAAATTTTGTGTACCTAGAAACGAAGACGGATTCAAATGCCGAATTAGTGAATATGGACCTGTAAAAGATAACATGTACACATACCTCTCAGATCTTACAGCCTCAGCAATCATTGCATCAACCACAACATCTGCCATAGCAGAACCCAGGTTCTGCACTGTCAAGAGGGTTGTGAGATGCCATTGAGAACTCCTTAAGTTTGAATTTAGGCCTAGAATAGGCCAGGGAACAAGAGAGAGCAGAGTTGCAATTACTAGGTATGGTATCCTTTTCCGTCCCTTAATTGGGAAGCAATCAGACAAAATTCTGCAAGCCAGATGCAAATTAAGTTTCCAAGAAATATACACAAAAAGTATCTATAATGAAAAGGACAATATTCTTCGATTTTCAATCAATAAAGAAAATTCCACATAAGCACTACATGGTAATTTGTAATGCATATACAATTCCAGTTTTGGGTTTCATATGCTATTATGGATGTTTGAAAAAGCAGTATTAGTGAGTTGCCAAAATTGCTATTCCACTAGGAAATTACCAAAGTTCTACAAAACAGCAGATACTTTCACCAGAAAGTGAGCATTTCAAGGTCAACATTTTCTTCTCTCTCTTTGCTCTATAGTTTGCACCATAGGCCTATCAAGAAAATCTAATCAAACAAATAAACATACCCATATAATGGTTTTATACTCCATGGAAAAAATGCTATTGAAGACACAAATTGGGAGGCCGATGGTGACAACTTAAGATTGTCTTTTAGCTGATAGGAAACTGCTGTCCATACAAAGGACCTGAAACCCTACACTCACACGTTATAGAAACACAATTGTTAAGTTGGATATTAATTTGTTCAAGAATAAACAACATCTGCAACTTGAAAACAGAACACTTGCAAAACCGTAACTAGACATATGAGAAGCTAACTAGGTCATAACATTAACAAAACAATAACATAGTATGCAACATACATACCAGTAAGACTTGAAAATATTTGGAAATTATGAGCAACCTGCTATAAGTACTTATTTTGCTTCTTTTTTTTTTTTAATCACATTTAACCAACACTTATTTCAAAAGCGCAAACCAAAGAGCCAAATTTTCATTACCTTAAGTTTTTCTTTTGAGCAAAAATCATGAGAAATGTTGCTTTAAAAGCAATAAAGCTAACTTCAAAATGCCAACCAAGCTATAAGCCTAAAACATCTTCAAGAAATTTCTTAAGGACATCATTGCCACCTAGATTCCTAAAACAACAAAATCACCCCTAAAAAAATTCGAAAAACAACAAATTTACAAATTTTAACATACCCTCTCCCTCAAAAATGAAAACAATCCATTTCAAAAAAAACCCCAAAATATCAACTTCTTATAGAACTCATCAAATTTGATCCAAAAAAATTCATATATTCATCTAAGAGGCCAAAAAGAGGAAAAGGAAACCTGAGTGAAGTAAATCAAGCAAACAAGCCATAAAAATGAAGCCCCAAATGACCTCTTCAGCTGTTTTACCCATTCAATCATCTTTGAAACCAAAAAACAAAAACCTCTTTAATTCTCATCGAATCTTCGCTTTCTTCATTTTATACGCTTCTCTCCCTCTCTCTGTTTCAGGATTCAACGGTTTATTACTAATTTTTTTATTGACTTTAATGCCCATGTTTTATAGTTCTTTCTGGAACATAATACGCGGCTAAAGCAGGGCTTTTCGTCATTTAGGGAGCTGCGGTGGATGTGACGTACCGGCTTTTTTGACAATAAACACGTCCGATACTCCTACCAAATATTGCCACGTCATCTTCCGGGACCCACGTATGTGACTGTCCAATATGTTTTTGTCTGCCGGGAAAGGTTGCTATGTAAGCGTATGATTTCATTCCTAAAAGATTTTTAGGATCCTGGCAATAGCTGTTCTTAAAGAATTTTGCTGAGTTATTTAATATTTAATATTAATTTTTATTTTTTTATTTATAGAATTCAGGATTCGGCTAAGAAATGTTCTTAAACTATCTGTTTAGAGTTACACACTATTTTAAATTAATTTTTATTTTATTTATTCATAGAATTGAGGATTCGGTTAAGAGACATTCTTAAGGTATATGTTAAGAGTTATTTAATACTCCAAATCAATCTTTATTTTCTTTTTATATATAGAATTTTTTATTAATATTTAAAAATATTATAATATAAAATAATAACTATTTAGCATGTATAATCAATAATTTCCGTTTTCATTCAAATATTTGACTTTTTTCTTAAATATTAAAAAAAAAAAGCAAAATCTATAATCATTAATCATTAATTGATTTACTAACTATTTTATTTTATAGGTACCCATTTTATGCTTCGTAAAAAGAAAAGGAACTCATATCCTTGCATGATTTTTTTTTTTTTTTTTTAACTTGGCTTAGACTCTTTATATATATATATATATATATATATAAACACGCATGCAAAAATAAATATAGGATCGTATTAGTCATGCCAGTTGAACGAAAATGGATCAACCGCTTATATATCACAGTTTTTTGCATAAATTATTACACGTCACTCAATAATACCCAATCAAAATTGATTTACTAACAATTGTTCTTTTTAATTTTTGATTTAAAAAATATGGTATTATAAACTATGCTAAACTTTTTAAAGTTACTTTATACAAAAATTTAATTTGTTTGAATTCTAAAATTATAAAAAATAAATTAATTAAAATAATAGCGAAAATGAAAATATATAGTTATGCACTTTTATCTCAATAAAACATTTTTTAAAATTTTTTATATTAAATATGGCCTTAGTTTTGATTTAATTAGCATTATGAAGAATGTGTATCTCTATATACTTAGCATATATATAATCTAATCCTTTTAGGTGAGTTGAAAATATAAATTTACGGGAGACTTAGTTTTGCTTTTTTCAAAAAAATAAAAAAAGAATTATATTTAATCTTTATTACTCATAATCCTTTCAGGAGAGTTGGACAAAGAAATCCATGGGAGACTGGGTCTAATATCTATATTTATTCAAACAGTTTTTTTAAAATATATTATATTTAATCGGCTTTTTTTAGGGGAAAAAGCAATTTTTTTTAAATGCATGCGGACCTTTTTTTTGACAAGTCAGGTTTTTTTTTAAAAAATAAACTATTATAACTAATAGTTTTTTCTTAAAATAAAAAACTATTTATTTAATGTGGACCATTTTACTCTTTAAAAAAGAAAAAAAAAAAACTCATATTCTTATAGAATAAAAAAAAATGATTGGCTTCTGCCTCTGTGTATCTCTCATCATATGCTGTGCATCTGCCAGCAGGTTTTTGAAAAAAACATTAGTGGAAATAAACAGTCAGATAGACTCTTTATATACACATACTAATACTGTTGTGTATCAATTTTTCTCTTTTAAAAAATTGCTTTTCTTTTTATTTATATTTTTTCTAAAATATTTATGATCAAAGTTTTTAATATTATATTTTCTTAAAATACTCATATTTTATAATGCAAAATTAAATTAGATAAATTTTTTTCTTAAACCAAATAGAGAATATTTTAAGAAAGTATTGTTAAAAAAAAATACTTATATGACATTATAATTAATAATTTTTTTTAAATTACATGAATATTTTTTTAAATTACATGAAAAATCAAAGAAAAATATTACTTCGGTACAGAAAAAATAATATATATGATAAGAATAAATATAGTACCATATTAACCGTATCATTTAAACGAAAAGGGTTTATATAAAAATTAGCTTGTCAGCTACTTATATATCATGGTTTTGTACATAAAATTACACGTCAGTCAATGATACACAGTAAAACTTAATTTCCTAACCTTTGTTCTTTTTAATCTTCGGTTTAAATATGGCATTATATACCATGCTAATTTTTTTAAGGTTATAATTAAAAAAAATTGTTTGTTCGAGTTATAAATTCAATTAAAATAATAACTAAAAATGTAAATATATAATTATGCACTTTCATCTCAATAAAAACAACTTTAAGATTTTTTATTAAATATGACCATAGTTTTGATTCAATTAATTAGTATTATGAAGAATGTGTATTTCGACAGTGGAGAAATATGTGTGTGCGTGTATTGGTATTAATCCTGATTTTTTTAGGAGAGTTCAAAATTGAAATCAATAGGACATTCGGTTCATATATATATAATCAAAATGTACTATATTTAATTGGTTTCTTTTAAATTTTTAAAATATTGTATTTAATGATTATTAATCTTAATCCGTTTAAGAGAGTTGAACAAAGGAATCCATATAAAAAAAATCAGATTTTTTTTTATATATAAAAAACTATTATATTTAGTAACTCTTTTATTTAATGTGGACCAATTCTTTTTTTTTAAAAAAAAACACATCGGTTTTTTTTTAAAAAAATTATAATTAATCGTATTTTAATAACAAATTATTATATCTAATAACTATTAAGTATTTTATTTAATATCCACCCATGTGAATTTCATCCTATGCTTTTGTACTATTTAGTAGTGTCTATTTTAACTTTTGTATTTAGGGTATGATACAAAATAAACATTGTACAACTAAAAATAATAAAAAAAAGGGGATTAACATATATTTTAGGATTCATGCTAAATGATATCTATTTCTTGAGAATTAATAATTTTACCAATATTGATATTTTTATTAATTAAAGGTGGGGTTGAATTTACTTATTAGTATTGGTAATATATTATAATGTTAGTATTGTGCTAAAGGTATAATACTCAATCAAAAATTTTTAAGTAGTTTGTGATTTTACATATAGTAATGGATTATGCGTTATGGTTTCATTCATTAATAGTGGAGAATACTTTATAGCTTAAGACTCTTCTTCTAATTATGATGTTTTTGTAAGAATTTAATTCTTGAGGATTACAAACACGAGTTGTGGACACACGATATAACCAATGAGTAAAATTATCGACATACTTTGGTTATTGCCTACAAACTATTGCATACAATTAGGTGTTTTAAAACTTGCAAAAGTGTTATAAGAGCTTCTTGTTGTTGCAAGTATTATTGAATTGATTGTTGTATTTGTTGTTGAGTATTGTTTTTCTCGTATTGCAACTTATATTTATGAGTTTCTTTTTCTTCTACGATCTTTTGTAATATTCTACGTTGTTTTATAACTATCAACGTAGCATCAACGTAGCCTTACAATGCTCCACGTTCATCTAAAATTTGACACACTACTTTGCAAAGTTTCATGTTCTTTTGTAATTGCTACGATCATGCTCCACTCATTGCTATTTTCACAATTTATTAGCATCTTAGGAAAGTCATCTTTTATATTTATCTTCTTATAACTATTTTGTTTAATTAAAAAGTGCATGATTAGTAAGTTTTTTAGTCTAAACAAATCACTCGATAAATTAAATGATAAGTCTCTTATGTGAAATAAAATCAAATTACTAGACTTTTGAACCTAGTCTGAATTAAAAAGTTACCAAGTATGAAGAGATAGTGGTTTTCATTTTCTAAAATAAAAAATCAGACAGAACGAGGTTTTTTTATTAAAAAAAAAAAATAGAAAAAGAAATCACAAATGTCACAAAAATAACACATATTCTCTTGCTTAGTGAAGTGATATGCAACCTCACTAGAAGGGCAAGAACACTTCTCTTTGTTTGGTGAAGTGTTAACCAACGTTATCCGTTGATATAGTCTTCTTTTTTTTTTCTGCAAACCATGTTAGCATTTTCGATTAATTTTTGGTGTTGGCACAGTATCCATATTAACTCCTGCTTAATTTGATTCATTTCATTGTTCGATCTTATAAAGACCTGCTTTAGGAATTAAGATCACCTTACACAATATACTAACAAAAAGCTTCAAGCTTTAAACGAAGAAATATCAATGAGAAAGATGCAATAATGTTTGCTGTCCGACAGCCTATTTGAACATCCATTTTCATAACAAAAAAAAAAAAAGAGGAAATTTGATGTCCTTTCTCCTGTTTGCTATCAACTTACTCAAGTCATGCGGGATGGAATTTGTTTCTTTTTGCGTAAAGTTAGGGTTTGGCCCTTCAAGTTCCCATAATCCTGAATTATCCTAAATTGGTCAGTATCTTCAACTGTTATCAAATCCAATTTGGTTACGGACACAAAGAGGTTTATACCTTTGATTCTTGAGATTAACAATTAATCAAATGTTGGATTGGAATTTACAACCCCACCCCTCATACTTTACAAGAGTATCATTGATTACAACTTCAGAAGTTTATACCTTTCGAATTTTAAACATGAAAGCTGAATCAATAGATCATCAAAACTGTAATTCAATAGACATGTTTTCCTCCTTGAAAAAAGAAAAAGAAACTAGAAACCAACAAATATTTAGCTTGATAATATCCACTTCGTGCGAAATTTATGTTCTGCCATAGCATACACATAATGATATGATATCATTGTTGAAGTCAGGCCAACTAACTTATAGATTATAAAATACAGAACTGCAGATAAACTTGAGTAACAAAACTCAATTGACAGTCATAACAAAAGCAATACAACATCTTACAGTTCTTGATCTCTAGCTGGCTATAAACCAAAACTAACCTTAATTCAACCAAGACATTCTGAGTAACAGAAGTTACTAATCAAACTTTCTCCCACTGCAAAAAACCAAACTTAGCACGCACATGTTACCCATTTGCAGGAGAAGCTGTATGTGCAAAATCTCAATCAGTCCAGCTTGGTCCTGCTCAGAAATGTTTCATGGTCATGAGTTCACAATCAAGAAAGCAAATGATAGAAGTAAATAAAGCATTCCACCAAGAATAGAAACTTGGATAGAACTTTGAGAAGAAACTTTGAGAAAGGTGCACGAGTGCTGCAACATCTAAACATACTAATTCACCAAGGTCATGCCAAAACTACATTCCTCAACTAAGGGAAACTATCCACATGAACAATTCAGATTGTCAGTCATGAGTGCTGCTGCCCTGTTTGGTGATTTCTTCATAATTAATCAGAACAACTTGACGAGCTTTTAGGTCTCGTGGCAACAAGTAATGCAAGATATCCAGAAAGTGGTATAAGGAAACGTCAAAACTTGACTGCAATGCTTCAATTTATCATAGAGGATATGTCAGTTATAACAAGTAAGAAGCTGAGGACAATACTATGTCTAGATCACAAATCTTACCTTAATACCTTCACTTCTTCTCCTTGTGCAATATCCTGGAGTGAAACAAAGCTTGGGCTGTATGCAATTACTTTAATGCTTTTGATTCCCTGCGATATCGTTAAATCCTGAAAACTCTTCCATCTTGCATCATAACGGACTATACATTGATCTTCATGCAACATCAAGATTTCTCCAGAGCTTAAGAAAAACAAGGGTTCATAACAGACATAATCATTTAAATGCACATTTCCAACGACAAACTTTTTGGACCAAGATTCCTTGACGCCATACTCCTCCATAACCCATATCTCAAATTCTCCACATTCAGAACAGACGTCAAAAGCCATGAACAGGCAACCTTTTAAAACCCCGACACATGAAACTGAGTGCCTCCCCTTGCCATCATGTATTTGAGAATCAGGAGGTAAAGACAACCGCTTAAATTTCTCAAACTCAAAATCAAAAGCACAAATAAACCTGTAGTTCTCAGGATCATAGTCAACCCAATGGATAGAATCGTGCAAAAAAACATTGGCATTCAGATAGTCAAGGCTGAAAGGAGCATTTCCAATTCTCCTCCATTGTCCTGTACCAACCGTGTATATTTCAGCCCGACATTGAGTTACAAACTCTCTGCCTAGATAAAAAGTATGTAGAACTTTGTATTGATTACTCGCCGTACTGAATCCAAGAGCAAAATATTGACCGCATTTTTTACGCTTTCCAACTTTTTTAACTACTGGAATGGAAATGCACTCGCCTAATATCGGATTGCAAACATAAACCATGTCATTGAATATGCCTTTAGACATTCCCCAACAGCAAACCAACCCATTGCAAGAATTTAGAATGTCTACACCAGTATCGGGTAAGTTTGTGTTGGGAACAAACCTAATGCTTTCGATCTCAAAAGTTTTACGAATGACTTCTTCGACGATCTGAACGAGTAATATATCCGTACTTTCTTTATATCTACTTCGTGTATCTTGAATCAAGAAAGTAGTGGGTGATCTTGCCCAATGGATTTTGGCAAAATGAGGATCTGAAATTAAACGAAGCCAAGTTTTGCAAACAAACTTACAGTTGAAAAGGGACTTGACGGGCAATCTTGAGAGTATGTCCGTTATCAAACCATGGGGTAGCTCAGCCACTAAACATTTCGATTCTGCTGTGCTAGCTGCTCTCTTTCTTTTATCATCCATGGAGACTGGTTTCTTTTATCTTTCCGATGAATGTAAGTGGATGGATTAGATGGAGCAAGTGAGGGTTTGGATTTTTAGGGTTTGGCTGGAAGAAGAGAAGATGAATCAGAAAAGCTTTATTAGATTTGGATCACCCCTTCCGGGGCTGGGTTAGTTTGGTACCCGTTTTATATTGAGGGTGAGATGGGCTTTTTCCATGGTTTAAAAGCCCACCTAAATCCGTTTGGTAATCAAAATCTGGTCGTCAGATCTGGCGAGTCCCATGTCTAAAATCCCCGAGGATTTTCTTATCTACAATTTATACCGATTTTAAAATATTTGTTTAGTTAAAAAAATTAAATAATATATTTTTTATAAAGTCTCTAATTGATTAAAAAAGATTAATTTTTTCTATTTTTTTTAACAAAAAAAAAATCAATATTCTTTATTCTTTGTTTTTATACATATTGATACCTTTAATATAAACTTTCAAAATATTTTTTTCTTATATAAAAAAAATATTTATTCTTACAAGGATTTAAATGCGTGCTAAAATTTTAAAAGTAAATTATTTCTATCTTATGTTATTTTTTTATAATTTTTTTAAACTTGATTGCAAATTAATTTAATAATTTTTTCTTTAATTTACAACCTTAATTTTGGATAGATTTTCTCCTTAAATTAATATTAGTTAATGTATGATTAAATTTGATAACTAATAATTTTAACAAAAATAATATTTTTAAAAATATGAAGAAAAAATACTCATATAACATAACAAATTGATAATTTTTTAAACTATGTTAAAAAACTAATTAGACAATCTGTTTGGAACAGAAAGAATAACAAAAATATAATAGTAAAAATGAATGTGAATTTTATTACTGTATAGATATTTGGTTGAAATAAATTAAATGAGAACGACAATGAAGATTGAAAATAAAAATAAAAATTAAATATAATTTTGTTCTTATGAAAAAAATAGAAATAAAAATAAAGAATGAGAATAAGATTTTTTCTTTAAAATAGTAATTTTTATTTTTATTTATTGTATATGAGCTATTTTTATCAAAATCACCATTTTTACCACTACCACTTCCTCCTCCATTATCACAATCACAAACACTATCAAAATCATTTCTATCATTTTTATTACCATTATAATTAATAAAATTATTTTTATCTATTTAAAAACATGCTATTAAAATTTTTAAATTTTATTGTGATAATTTCTATCAATTTCTATTTGAACAACTGTTTTAACCAAATAATATTTCTTTAATCACCACTTCAGCCACAACTACAACCACAATTAAGGTAGGCCTGTAGCTGCACCCAAAACTACAAGTCTGCAACTACAGCCTACAGTTACTGGAATTCAACCACGAGTCACATTTTGATGTCATCTCCAACTTTTTTTTTTGAAATATACACACACATATGTATATACATTCATATCTATTAAAAATATATTAAGTGTAATAAATATTATTCTTCTTATTAAAAAAAAAAAACCATCCCAACTTTCGTTGGTTTTCAAAATTTGGCAACTGGATACGGAGAAATTAGCGACGGTTTTTTTTCAAAAAAACCATTGCTAATTCCAATTTTTTCTTTAAAAAATTTTTCCGCATCCATTTTTGCGATTTTTTTTTCAAAAAAACCATCGCTAATTTCAATTTTTTTAGAAAAAAATTATGCAACCATTTTTTGCGACGATTTCTTTGCAAAAAAAAAAAAAAATCGTCACTAATTTAATTTTTTTTAAAATTTCTGTAACCATTTTTTGTGACGGTTTTTTGTAAAAAAACTGTTGCAAATCATGAAAATTAGTGACGGTTTTTTGCAAAAACAAACCGTTGCTAATTTCATTTTTTTAAAAAAATTTTTTGCAATGGTTTTTGTAAAAAAACCGTTGCTAATCATGGAATTTAGGGATGGTTTTTTCCAAAAAAAAAAAAACAGTCACTAATTTCAATTTTTTTTAAAAAAATTTTATGTAACCATTTTTTGTGACGATTTTTGTAAAAAAACCATCACAAATCATGGAAATTAGCAACGGTTTTTTTGCAATCATTTTTTGCAATGGTTTTTGTAAAAAAACCGTCGCTAATCATGGAATTTATCGATGGTTTTTTTCAAAAAAAAAAATAAGTCGCTAATTTCAATTTTTTAAAAAACTTTTTATGTAACCATTTTTTGCTACGGTTTTTGTAAAAAAACCATCTCAAATCATGGAAATTAGCGACGGTTTTTTCTCACTAATTTAAATTTTTTTAAAAAAATTTATTTCTTCCAACCTTTTTTGCGACGGTTTTTTTACAAAAAAAACATCTCAAAATTAGTAAATTAGCGACGATCTAAAAAATATTGCTAATTAAGAGGAAAATAGCTATTTTTTAATTTTTTCAGACATTTAGCGATGGTTTTTCGACCGTCGCTAAAACTTTAATCTCTATATATCAATTTGCCCAAAAATTTGCAAAAAAAAAATTTCTTCTCTCTCTTCTTCTTCTCCTTCTCCAGCGTCGATCTCCCTTTCATTAGTTGCAAATCTTCCCCCTCTCCTTTTTATTTTCCTTCCAATCTTCTCCTCTCTCTCCTCCTTCCCTTTCTCCCCTCTATCTCTCCCCCTTTCTTTCTTCCTTTATTCCCCTTCCTCAATCAGCCATTTTTCGGCCGAATAGTATGACGAAGCCCTTCCACCAACGCAGCCCACTCTCCTCTCCACTCTCCTCTTTTTGTTGGTGAAACATCCTCCCTCATCTAACCCCTTAATTAATTTTTAATTTTTTTCAATTATTTTACTTAATTTAATTTTAAATTTTTTTGTTTATTTTTTTGTTATTGTTAATTATTAATTTAGTTAGTTTAATTGTTATTAATTTTTGTTAATTGTGAGAGTTTAATTGTTAATTTTATTGTTAAGAAAATTTAATTGTCATTAATTTTTGTTGTTAATTTAATTGTTATTGTTATTAGTTTAATTGCTAGTTGTTATTGTTAATCGAGTAATTGTTAATTGTTAATTTAGTTAGTTTATTGTTAAATGTTATTTATTAATTTAGTTAGTTTAATTGATGGTATTTTGGAAAGTTAATTTTTTTAGAAAATTGTTAATAAGCTATTAGAAATATTTTAAATTTTTTGTAATTACAAAAATAATTAGTCATTAAAAAATTAATAATTTTTGAAATTATATTTAGTAATTAAAAAATCAATTAGTAATTAAGTTTATTTAGTTGTTGATTAAGTAAAGGAGTTAAGTAATTAAAAAATTAATTACTTTTGAAATTTTATTTAGTAATTAAAAAATTAATTAGTAATTAAATTTATTTAGTTGTTGATTAAGTAAAGGAGTTAATTAATTATGAAATTAAGTAGTGATTAAAAAATTATTTTTTGTAAATTATATTTAATAATTAAAAAATTAATTAGTAATTAAGTTTATTCAAGAAACTTTAATAGCAACAAACTTTCTACTTTTTTCAAGAATTTAATAATTGAATAATATTTATTACATTTTAATAAATTTTATGATAAAAATTATGAAATTTTAAAATATTATGTTTTGGGTATTTTATAGACTTTTAAATAGCAATTGGTTAATTTAAAATGAGGGTATAATAATAATAATAATAATATTTTAGTGACAGAATTAGACCATTGCTAATTTTTTTGCGATGGAATTAGCAATTGGTTAATTTAAAACGAGGAAAAAAATAGTATTTTAGCGACATACCGTTGCTAATTTTTTTGCAACAGAATTAGCGACAGTCTAGATTGTCTCTAATTCCAAATATTAGCGACAGATCCAAAACCCTCGCTAAAATCGTCGCAAATTTCCCTTGCTTCTACTACCATTTTTTGCTATGGTTTTTTCTAATTTTACGACGGTTTTTTCATCGCTAAATTAGTGATGGTCCAAAAACCGTTGTAAAATTTTAGCAACTCGGCATTTTACGGATGATTTTTGGATCGTCGCAAAATTGTCGCTAATTAAAATTAGCAACAAATTTTGCTAAATTAGCAACGATCTAGATCTAGACCGTCGCTAATTCTATTTTGTTTTTGTGGTGTAGATGCAGTATGTTGGCACATTGACAGGTCGATAGACAAAGGTTTGACTGCAAGAGAATAACCGGATGGACAATTATAACTTAAGAAATGATGAAAGAATGTAATGAAATACTTGACAATTCTACTGAACTCGAAAAAAAGAAATGGGGGCATGTCAGGCTGGAAGAAGTTAAAAAATGTATTGACCATATGGAAAAGAACTTGCTCATATACTTTAGAAAAATCTCAGGACATTCCCACAATGAAAATTACAAATCGAAATTTCTAACAGCTGGTTCTTAAAAAGCCAAAGAGAAAATAATGAGCACAAACCAAAAGTGCTTTATATCTACAAAACTTCAACATAGCTGTTTCATTAGCTCATGGGGCTGATGATGTTCTGTGAAGCTGATACTTGGGTTCGGTGAGAGGGGTAGGCGGAAACCTTATGTTAGACTCATACAAGTTAAAGGACAACAAATCGAAATAAGATAAAAACTAATATACATGTTAGTAATTATAGCTAATTTCTTAACCAAGAGTAGTCTATGTAAAAAAAAATGATTTCGTAGCCCGGTTACACTACCAAAAAAAGGGCAATTAGCGACGAAATAATTGCCAAAATTCTATAGCTATTCATGTTTAGCGACGAATACTATTTCATCACTAATTCCCTTATTGCTAATTTTTTATGACGGAAAATCAAGTCCGTTACAAATTTTAGCGACGAAAAATCCATCACTAAACTAAAAAAAAAAACATCGCTAATCTTCTCATTGGATCTGTCATTCGTTCGTAGCTAATCCGTCTCTAGTTTTTAAAATAAATTTGTCACTAGTCCATCGCTATTTCATCGCTAATTTTAAAAATAATTTTGTCGCCGATCAGTTGCTAATTCCGTCGCTAATTTTAAAAATAAATTTATCGCTAGTCCGTCGCTAATTTTGTCACTAATTTGAAATTTAATTTATTGCTAGGCTATTGCTATTCCATCGCTAATTTTGACCAATTTGTTGCTATTTGGTCGTTAATTTTAAAAATGAATTTGTCGTCGATCTGTCGCTCTTCCGTCGCTAATTTCGAAAATGAAATTTTCATAATTTTGTCACTTTTTTGACATTTTTTAATCGTTTTTGAATTATTAATATGAAATTTAATAATTAATAATTATAAGTAATCATGTATATATAAAAAATAAAATAATATTAAAAATATCATTCCGTAATCCATAAAAAAATAACAAAACAAAAAAGTGATCGAATATTATATCACTCATCTTGTTTGTCTAATCTCATGTCCTCATCTTTATCCTCACACTCGTGTGGAGGGCTCGATTGGAGGATCGACCGGAGGCCGAGTGGAAGGAATGGTAGGTTGTTGGATGATCGATAGATCTATAGGTAGTCCGGATGTTTATGCCGACCTCATCGGTAAGGATGCCATCGAATCGTATTAAAATTTCATACTATAAATGGTCCGATTTTGCTATGAGATCTAGCTTTTAAGCTCGTCCGTTAGCACTCGTATCCCTTTTTCGCTTCTTTCGTAGCCTCGTAGTCCCTTCGAAGCTCTTCGTTAGCGGAATCAATGGCGTATTGCGACGTCGTAGAAGAGGAGCTGCTGCCACTCGACCGAGATAGATAATGCATCGACTATATGCCTAAATCATAAAATCTTTTCTTCTTCTCCCCGATAGCTTCGTAGGTATATGTTGACAAAATCTACATTTATCTAATTCGTTATCTTCTTTCTAATAAATCATGCACTTGTTCGACAATAATGAATTTTTTTCATCGATAAACCCATTCCTTTTACCGACTTCTTTGTTTCATAAAAATTATCTCGTCATACAATTATTAGTTGGCATCAACTCTTTCATCGACTGACATAACCGGTCGAAACTCCTATTTGAAAAATGATAGTTGGCTTTTAGGTTCAACATTTGAGCAACTATTGACAATTGCGAATGTTTATCATAGCCATGCCAAATCTCTCTACGTGATGCATTCAACATATCATAAAAGTGTTGGACGCTAGGATTAGGAACCTCCTCCATGTTAGACGAATCAAAGGATGGATTAGTCGCATCCATTACCATAGTTTGATATGGGTTTTGGGGTTAACTAGAACAACCTTTGCCTACATAATAATTTCTAGAAACGTGCTCGACTCCTAGAATTTTTAGATGTCATATAGGTTTCAAATTCACCATAATGCACCCAATCATAATATCCCGATACAAAACCTTTATGGCGGACATGATATTTGATCGTGTCAACCTCTTCATAATTTCGATTTTGACACTTACCGAAATTACAAGGACACCTAATTTTGGTTCCTTCCATACATTCAGGATGTTCAACAACTAAAGCTAAAAATTGTTCTATACCTTTGACAAAGTCATCATTTAACAATCCATTAACTAACCTAAAATTCATCCATTGTTGATCAAATCTCATTTTTGTAATTACTACAAAAATGACACAACCATTGCAAATAGTTACTTGTCATCATTCCTAAGAATTTTAAATAAATATTAAGCACATATATTAGTTGTATACTTGTCTCTAATTAGTTATGAATTTTATTTAAGAATTTAACTTCATATTTAAATAATTATTTAAAAAATGATTATATTTTTTTCATTAATACTTAATTTTTTTAATATTTAATTATTTATTGTGTAATTTTTTTTATATATTTTCTACCTTAGGTCCAATAATAACGTAAACCTAACCTAAAACAAGTATTTAACCTAATTTAAACTACCTTAGGTAATTTTAGATAATTACATTATCATTTTCACTTAAAATACATGAAATTTTAAATTTTTTGAACATAAAAAACATTTAATTACATTATCATCTAATTAATTTATGAAAATATTCAACTAAATTTAATTTAATTAATCTAAATAAAATATTTATTTATTTCTATTTATTAATAAAATATTTATTAAATTTTAACGTTTGTTTTAATTTTGTGATTACATTTTTATTCAATTCTTTTTCGAAATGATCAAATCAGTAAGCATGTTATCTTCTTTCAATTTTAATAATTAAACCAATAAAATTAATTTTAAAATTTATATTCAAAATGACTATAAATCAAATTAATTACATTAAATTAATTTAAACTAATTAAGCTAGTAATTGATTGAAACAACCAACAAATCCTAAAAGTGTTAAAAAATAATCAACAAAATTTAACTAAACTACGTCAAAAATTATATAATTTCAAACTTAAGTTAAAACAGACAACTAACCAATTTTTTTAGGTTTACGTTAACATAGAAATTATTTTAACAATTAATATAACCACCAAATCAAATTTAACAAAATTATTCTAATAGTCATAAAAATAAAATAAGAATTAAGAAATTTACACTGCTACAAACAACTTAACATAACAAAAAATTAACAAAACAATATAATTAAAAAAATTCAAATAAATAATCAACTCGACAAATAAGAAAATTTATTTACACATTTATAACATTTATTAAATTAAAAAAAAAAACAATTAGAGAGAGAAAGTTTTAACCGAGAGATCAAAGAGAAAGAGCACGGATCCGGTCCGATTTCGAGAGAGAAAGATACCCCTCACTTTGTTGAACGGTTTTGAAAGAGATTTAGAGGCGTGGGGCAACGTGAGTGGTCATTTTTTGTGGGTGGCGGCGGGAAGTGTGGTGGAGGTGAGGGAACTAGAATGGAGAAGAAGCGAAAGGGTGGGGGTATATACAAGGGAAGTAGTGACATATTAGGTGTTCTGTTGCTACTTGGGGAGAATTTCCCCCTAAAATCTATTTTTAGGAGGGAAATTCCCCCAATTTCTAGAATAATTAGCGACGGACATTGTCGATGACGTAGAGACGGACCTCCGGTCCATCGTTACTTTGGGGGAAATTTTCCCCCTAGGTGTTTTTTGGGAGGAATTTCCCCCAAATTTCATGCGAGAGATAGTGACGGGCTCAAGTATGTCATTACCTTACCAAAACGTAGCGACGAAAATGATTTTCATCGCTACATTTTGGCCTTTTGGGGGAAAAGTTCCCCCCAAAATCCTCCTAAAGTAGCGACAAAAATCAATTTTGTCGCTATATAGGTAATATTAACTATGGATTACGAAATCTGTTGCTAACTTCTTTGTGATTTGGGGCATTCCATCTCAAATTTTTGCCGTTGCTAATGATCCCTTGTTATTCCATCGCTAATCCATCATAAAAACCAACCTTTTAGAGGTCGTCGCAAATCCGTCATTAAGTTGTCTCTAATTAGAGACGGATTGAAATCTGTCGCTAAATTTCGACGCTAATTGCTAATTTTCTTGTAGTGTTATAGCTTTTTCGCTTATATTTCTAAAATAAGATAATTGCAGATCTCACAGCAACAAAGACCAACATGCAGATTGTGCATTAACAAAGCAAGCACATTAACATCTTTCATTCCTTAAATCAAGTGAGGAAGGAGAAAAGAAACTAAAACTCACCCGTAGTTTCCTCAGCCGTGCGTTTTCCAATTTCAGAAGACAAATTTTGCTGTCCACATCCTTTATGTGCTCCTGTTTACGTAGTCGCCAAAGGGCGACATATAGAAGTTTTTTCTCCCTCCTCTCTTCTGTCTTAACAACCATATCCTTTACCGTATCTTTTTTACTTCCTGGTGTCAGGGTATCTGGTAATTTCCCCATCAAGTGTCAAGGTAAGACCCCCTTGTTTTCTAGGTATGAAACATCTATCATAGAACCAAGCTCCATGTGAAATGACTGCCATATAGGCTGATCTGTCATATAAATTCCATGTGAAGTGCCTGCCATCATGTTTTGTTGTGGATGCTGATGTTGTGGGCGTGGTGGGTTTTGAAAACATTAATCTTGTTATTGAAACTGTTATGCTGCATTTGTATCAAACCCAACAATGGAACCACCATCTTTTCCTTCTCTTTGGCCAAATGAACCAGGAGAAATAGAAGGGATTGACCTAAGGAAAGGCTGGGTAACTCCCACATTTTCGAATAAATCCTCCCTAGTATCCTGCCGCTCCCACAACTTCATCTCCCCATCGTTTTTGCTTTGTTGGATGTCTTTCCAACCCTCCATCATTTTTGGTTGTGGATGCTAATAATGTGGTGTGGTGGGTTTTGGAACAATTGATCTTGTTGTTGAAATCGTTCTGCTGCCATTTGTATCAAACCTAAACTAGGGGACCACCATCTTTCTTGTCCGTGGATCCTTCAGCTACAACTTCTACATTTTCCAAGAAATCCTCCCAGATATACTGCTGCTCCCAAGACTTTATCTCTCCATCGTTTTTGCTTTGTTTATGATGACTACTACCATCACCTTGTGATTCCATTGTCTGCAAAAGCTTTACCCTTCAACATGCAAATGCAAAAGCTCAAAGCGTAATCCTTCATTGACCAAAAACCTTAAAACCCAATTCTCAAATCGCAAAATAATTCGCATAATGACAATTCAGTAACCCCAGATTAAAAAGTCTAGAACTTTTGCATGAAACATAAATCAATTATAAAAAAAAGCAACAATCTTGTATATATTTACATAAAATCAAAATCCCTATTAAACCAAACTAAAACACCAAGAAAAAAAAATTCCCAAAAATGTAAGTGAAAAAAAAATCATGCATACCTAAATAAAAGGATAAAAGCTGCAAGAATCCAAAGAAAGACCGCAAATTGGTGAAAACAACGAAGAAAATACACTTAAAAGAAAGAAAGACTACCTGAGAGGGGGGGGGGGGGTTCGTGTAGGTGATAGAAGAAGAAGAAGAAGAAGATAGGAATAGGATGGACGCAATCTCTATTTTGGAAGTACGTAGTAGGCTATGACTAACTAACTAACTAACTAACTAATTAACGAACAGAAAGAAGCCAACGAATGGATTTTTAACTGCTAACAGTTGAACCACTTAATTAGCAACTCAGACAAATAGAACAAGTTGCTCTAAAGAGCCTGCCTGCAATCTTCATTTTCCAAGTTCTTTAACTCTAGTTTTTCCCCAACTTGATTCTTCTCCATGCATTATAATATTTTTTTCCCTCTCTAATTCTTATTCAATTCAACTTTTCTATTGTGGTAGCAATGTAAAATGCTAGCTTGAACACATACAGAAACATTGTTTTAGTTTCACCCCTCAAGGAAGAGGTTGTTTTTGGGTATCAAGCCAAGGAGGATGAGAGTTTTCATCTTTAGGTGTGAAATCATCATCGTTTTCCACCTCAAGGAATGATTCTTCTTTAGTTGTAGCAGATAGAGTATAAGCAAAAGCCATGAGCATAGCTACCAATAAGAATATCTTGAGAGTTTTCATGTTCTCTGTAGACTGTAAGAAAGAAAAGAGAGAGAGTTATGAGAAAGAGGTGATTATAGCGGTGAAAATGTGAATGCTTAGGTTGAAGAAGAAATGGGGGATCGTGGAGGTATTTATAGAGAATAAATGAAGAATGGAAGGAAGGTTATAGGCAATCAATCAACAATTTGAACTTGAAGGGAATTGCATGGTTTCAAATTATAATCGTGTATAGCTACTAGATAGTGGAGTGGTCCAATTCGATGTACGACCTTGTAATTAAATTTAAATAAAATAAATCATGTTAGGCTCTGAAAATATTATAATTATTATCTAATTAAATAAGGTAAAGTTTGGAAGAAATAGCAGAAATTATACAACCAAGCTTGGGTAGGTGAATCTCCTCTTCAGTATATCATCACTATTTTCCTTTCACGAAGCAAACTATCTCTTTCCTTGCGTTCATTGCTAAGAATTCCTTTTCAACAATTATATAGTAAGATAATTTTTCAATTTGTTAAGATAATTTTTCAATTTGTCTTTACATATATCTAATTGAATTTTTCAATTTGTCTTTACATATATCTAATTGAATCAATTTTATTCTCAAATATACATTATATTTTAAATATATTATTTTGTCAAGATTTTTAAGTCAAATTACTAGAATAATTCGCATAATTTGCAGATGATTATTTTTTTATTTTTAAAATACTTTGCAAACTAGTCAAATATAAAGCTTTTATATATATAAATTGTGTGACTAATTTCGATAATTTACCTTAAAAATTTCATCAAAAGAATAATTTAGATACTTGATTCAATTTTTCATAAAGTTGCATGTTGGGAAAAGTTTGTTGATGATGGTTTTGCTTACTCTAAAAATGATTTAGCAAGAAGCTCATAAGTAATTCAGCAATATTGGACTAACCGACTCACTAGTTTATATCTATTCTAAAAATATTTATTTAGTTAAATTTTTTTTTGGATAATTACTAGAAAAACCTTATAAAAAAATCTTCTATATAAAAAACCAACAAATTTATTTTTAAATCTCTCAAATCCAAAATAATATTTTTTTTACCAAAAACACCTAATAATTAACACTAGTATTAATTATTGGTTGTTTTGGTAAGAAAAATATTGTTTTAGGCTTGTGAGATTTAAAATATTATTTTGTGTTTGGGAGATTTAAAAATAAAATAGTGAATTTTTTATATTGAAGATTTTTTAGATGATATTTTGATAATTATCCATAGTTTAAATAAAACCATTATCTTTTAAGATATGTATTTCAATGATGGATGATCATGTTTTATTTAATTAATGCACTAAAATATGTTATACATTCATATTGTAATTTAATTTAATTGTTTGATAAAAAATGTTGAGTTTTGATTAATTAAAAACTAGTATTACCGATGATGCTTTTTTTTTCTATCAATATATTAGGGTTTAAGAAATCCCTAATTTTCATAATCATACATATTTTATTTTTCTTACTTGTATGATAACCCTTTGATTAAATTACAAAAAAATGACAAAAGTCTCATTTCGTCAATATTAATTAGTTAAATTGTCTCGGTTGCTATAGTTACTAGATAGAAACTTTGTCTTGTAATTAATGAAACAAACGGTCGATAAAAAAAAAAAAACTCTAATATAAGAAATTTTTTAATATAATAAAAAAAAAAGTAGTCGAATGTTAGTGTTTAAAAGTCAAGGAACCCGAAAATTTTTTTTTCTTTCAAATGCAATAAAAAGAAGTTCACTTGATCATGAAAAAAAATAATAAGGATCAAACTCGTTAAAAACTATGAAATGAGTTTATTATTAGATAAAAACTCTAAAAAAAAACTCTAAAAAAATTTCTATATATAAAAAAAAAATTATTACCAAAAGACCTAATAGTTAACTAGTGTTAAGTTAGAGGTTAACTATTGAGTGTTTTGGTAAGAAAAATATTATTTTAGATTTAAGAGATTTAAGAATAAATTGATTGGTTTCTTGGATATAAAAATTTTTTAGAGGGTTTTTCTTATAATTATCCCAAATTTTTTTTTAAAAAAAATATCTCTAATTGATAAAAATAATATTATTTTTTCTATTTTTTTAATAAAAAAATGAATATTCTTTATTCTTTCTTATTTATTCATACTGATACCTTTAATATAAAAATTTCACAATAATTTTTTTCTTATATAGAAAAATATTTATTCTTACAAGGATTTAAATACATGCCAAAATTTTAGAAGTAAAATATTTCTATTAGTACATTATTTTTTCATAATTGTTTTAAACTTGATTTTTAATTAATTTAATGATTGTTTTTATTTACAACCTTAATTTTAGATAGGTTTTCTTCTTAAATTAATATTAGTTAATGTATGATTAAATTTGATAACTAATAATTTTAACAAAAAGAATATTTTCAAAAAGTATAAAGAAAAAATATTGATACAACATAACAATTGATAATTTTTTTAAACTACATTAAAAAAGAAAGAAAGATAATCTCTTTGGAATACAAGGAATAACCACAAATATAATGATGAAAATGAAAATAAAAGTTTTATTACTCTATGGATACATATTTGGTTGAAATGAATGAAGTACCAATGAGAATAGAGACTAAAAATAAAAATAAAAATTAAACATAATTTCATTTTCATAAAGAAAATGAGGATGAAAAATAAAAAATGAGAATAAATTTTTTTCTTCAAAATAATAATTTATTATATTTATTTACTATATATCAATTATTTTTACCAAAGTCACCAACTGATTGGAATATATACACAAACACAAGTATATTCATGTCTATTAAAAATATATTAATGATAATAAATATTATTCTTCTTATTTTCAAAAAAAATTAAAACCATCCCAATTTTCTTTGGTTTTCAAAATTTGGCAACTAGAAACTTGGCTTTTACTTTTCTTGAAATTGATGAAAACAGGTTTTTTTTTTTTTTTTTTTTTTTTTCCTTCCTTCCTTCCTTAGAAACAAATGGAAAAATGAAGCCACAAATGAGGCAGATAATTTCTCTTTGCCTTGTGAACGGTGAGATGTTGGACAATCTGACTGGAAAGAGAGTAGTGAAAATAGAGAACAGTTCTGTTGCTTTGTAAAGTGTAAGGCAGCTTAGTACTACTAGGCCTCCATCTGAGATGTAGGAGTTGATTGCAGGGACAGTTTGGACTGGGGCAGTCGAGCAACCATGTCAGGATTAATAGCAAAATCCCTTGGAGCATCAGATGCCATTCACGATAATTACGAGATTAAAGCAGGTCGAAATACAGAGCAACTGGAATAAGAACATAGCAGAACCATGACTGAAGTTTGGCCTTAGTAACCTTCTTAATGCAGCAGTAGCATTGACCTGATGCACAACTGGAATTTAACTCACAAATACATTTTAAGGTAAATATGAACTAACCTGTGTTTCTGTTTTTCTTCTAGATAGAACGAGCTGGAATCTAAAACTTAAAGAGTATACATGATGACCAACATCCAGATGCAGCATGTTGGCTTACTGACAGGTCGATAGACAAAAGGTTTGACTACAAGAGAATAACCGGATGGACAAATATAACTTAACTTCACTCCAGTGCCATCTTATCCAAGTTGGGTGCAGTGTTCATGGAAACTGCTGATAGGTCAGTGCGCAATGGCCATTCTCAAACACTGCCTGACCTTGGTAAATCCCCTTAATATTTGTGAATGCCTGATAATTTAGAACCTAGCTAGATTTCATTATGCAAAGAACAGCCACTTCGGCACCTGCATCAAAACAAGAAAAATCACCACATTTTACATGGTTTGAATTTAAACACCACCTACAATAACAGCAATTGTTGTTTCATAAATTTAAAAAAGACCCCAATTTGAAAAATATAATCTGCTGTAGCTCATGCCAAGACCACAATAAATAAAGTCATCATGAAATTCCAGGAATCCATTGCCTTTCGAGTATTTGAAGTTACCCAAAATATAGAATGAAGTCAGGAAGTTCCATGGGCATGAATATGCCCTGGTTTACAATCATGTTTGAACGTGCACATATAGTCAAGAGAATTTGAATTACTATCTTCATACAACAACAACTATGATAATGAAAAGTTGGACAACAAAAGAATGTCAGCCAACTGCAGTACATATGATGCAACTCACAATTTCAATCAAGGAAAACTACTGAAGAATTGCAAGAATGTGGAGGAAAACGTAATCTTTATTGAAGTCGAATGAAACACTGATGAATGAAATCAATGCAACAAGGTGTACAATGTAAGGGAAAGAGTTACAGAAAGAGTAAGAACAAGAAAAGCACAGAAGGAAGAACAGAGCTGAGAGAGAGATATTCCAGTAATTGCTTAACTGATCTCTCATACTCTCTTCACTCTCTTTATTACTAACCACCCAACTAACAACCCACTAACTAATTACTTACAATCCATTAACTACTTACTAACAACCTAACAACTCCACATGCCAACTCACTGCTACATGTTGGCCTAGTAAGCTAATAATATCCAGCTCACCTCCAACTCATCGTCTTCATCAACTGACTGCATCAACATACCATAAAATTATGGGGTGTTTCCTAATGCACCACATGCTTTTCTAACTGACAGGAGAAGTTTTTCCACAAAATCATACAGCAAACAGTTCATGTGATGAACCTTTAACAGTCCAGGATAAAATGAAGCAACTTAATCTAGTTAAGTCAACGAACACAGATGAACCAGTAACAATTGAGGGGAACATTCTTTACAAAACCCCATAATTTTAGGCATAAGTATTAACCGATGCAAAGTAGATATTTTTCTATGTTGTTATGATAGTATTCACAACCTAAATTGTAGATAAGAAGACTACATTCACTCTTTCTTGTTCGGATAGGTCATTAAAACCCGTCATCTATGGTCATTACTAAATTCATTAGAAAATATCTTTATACCACTTGATTTGAAGAAGTAAAATGCCATGTTGGGAGTTTGGGATGACCTACACGCTTCCCATTTTTTAGAACCAAAATGGTAAAAACTTGAAGGAGCTGAGATAATTTGAATCAACACAGATAAGCAAGTAAAATTTAGAATTGTTGGTAATTGAAGCCATAGCATATATTCTTAAAATCCAATGTTTTGCTAGTAAAAGAAACTCAAGAGAACTTTGAGCAGATGTTCTCAGAAAAGTGCTGATGCAACACCAAACCATACTAACTGACCTCCGTCATGCCAAAATTACATCACTTGACAAAGGAACACTATCCACATAATTTTCTGAATTGGCAGTTAGGACTGCTGCTTTCCAGTCATTAAATGTCCAATAAACGCATATTTTCGTAATTAATCAGGAGAATTAGATGAACTTTAACTTCCCTTTCATTATGGCACTAAGTAATGCCAAATATGCAGAAAGTGAAATAAGGAAACTGTCAAAACTTGTCTTCATTGCCTCAACATATCTTGGACAATAGAAGTTATAATAAACAAGAAGATGAGAGGAATACCATGTCCAGATAAAAAAAAATATTACCTTAATACCTTGAGTTCTTCTCCTTTTGCGATATCTTGGAGTGAAACAAAGCTTGGGGTGTATGCAGTCACACCAATGCATTCCATTCCCTGAGATATTCCTGTATCCTGAATACTCTTCGATTTTGGGTCATAACAGACGATACATTGATGCCTTTGAAACATCAAGATTTTCCCAGAACCTAAGGTAAATAAGGGTTGATAAGAGATGAAATCTACAACAAACTTTTTGGACCAAGACTCCTTGATGCCATACTCCTCCATAACCCATATCTCAAGGTCTCCCCATTCAGAACAAACGTCAAAAGCCACAAATAGCCAAGCTTTTAAAACGCCCACACATGAAATCGCGTGGTCCCTGAAGCCATGAAGTTTTTGAGAATCAATAGGTAAAGCCAACCGCTTAAAGTGCTCAAAACCAAAGTCAAAAGCGCAAATAAACCCATCGTTTTCAGGACTATAATCAATCCAATGGACTGAATCATGTAAAAAAGCATTGGCATCCAGATGATCAAGGCTGAAAGGAGCATTTCCAATGCTTCTCCATTGTCCCGTACCAACCGTGTATACTTCAGCCCGGCATTGATTTACATACGGTCTGTCTGGAAAATAAGTCTGTAGCACTTTGTATTGATTACTGACGGAACTGAATCCCAGAGCAAAGTATTGTTCCCATTTTCTAAGCTTCTCAAATACTGGAATAATAACGTACTCTCCTAATATTGGATTGCAAACATAAATCATTTGATTGAAATTGCCTTTAGACTTTCCATCCAAGCAAAGCAAACCCTTGCAAGAATTTATAACGTGGAATTCAGTATCAGGCAAGTTTGTGTTGGGAACAAACCTCATTTTTTCGACATCCACAGTTTTGTCGTGGACTTCTTCAACAAACTGAGTTGATAATAGCTCTGTACTTCTGAAACAGACATCTCTAATCAAGATAGCAGTGGATGATTTCGAGAGATGGAGTTTGGCAAAATGAGGATCTGAAATTAAATGAAGCCAAGTTTTGCAGACCAACTTACAGCTGAAAAGGGACTTGATCGGCAATCTTGATAAAATGTCCAGTATCAAACCATGGGGCAGCTGAGCCACTAAGCACTTTGATTCTGCTGGGCTACTACTTTCAGGGTTTGCTGCTCTCTTTCTTTTAGCATCCATGGAGACTGTTTTCCTTCGGTTTCTCATTGATTGAAGGGGATGGAGAGATGGAGTGAGTGGGTGAGGGTTTGTTATTTTAAGGATTTGTCTAGATAAAGAGGTAAAGAAATCGTTTGTGGGGAGTGTAATGGGCTTTCATAGGTACCGGGTCATTTTGCACCTTTTTTTTTCTTTTTTTAATTCATGTTTTATGTATTATTTTTTTGTTACGCAATAATGAATATACACTATCATTTCTTATTTTTACTATTTGTATAATTTAATTCACTATTTAATATAAAAAATTAAAAAATATTATAATTTTTAATTATTTATTTATTTTTTAATAGTTCATAGTTCGTTTCAATTATCTTTTTAATTTTGAATTCTAGAAATAGATTTGATTGTTCATAAGTTTGTGTAAATGTGTTTTTGTAGATATTGAGATAATTATTTGAAGTTCTTATCACTTATATTAACTTTATTTTATAGAAAAATTATTTCTCCATCATTTTCTCTTCAATTCCATTATCGTTACTATTTTTTTATAATGTGTTATCAACACGAAATTTTAACTAACCGAGATAATAAACATTGAGGTATGTATCTTTCAAAAGACTCAATTATTTTATTGTTTTTATACATGAATGTTCTATCAAAAGATCTAAATTATCCAGATTATTAGCAAGTATGTATTTAATTTATTTTTTACTTTAAATTTAAATCTAGAAATGAGTAGAGTATATATTTGAAAATTTTGAATGATTTAATATATAGAATCTAATTATCTAATATCTAAAGTTTGAAAATTTTAAATTTTATTATTATGTTTGTTTTTATTTAAATTTTATTATTATATTTATTCTTATTTCCTAACATTATTATTATATTTTGCAATATAGAATTTTTATCATATCAACTATCACAAAAATTAATTTTATGGCCCTTTACATTTCGAGTAAGAATTATTGATCATTGGTACTTGAAACTGAAAAAACATTCTTTACTTTTCATGTCTTGAATATGCTCTTATAGTAAAAATATCAAGAAAAAAATTTTAAAAAATATTCGAATTGATTTCATGCTTGCTTGTGGCTAAACAAAATAACGAGCTATTGATGAAAAATTATGAATCCTGTCCAACTGAATCTACTCCATTTCCTAAAATGAATGTGAAGATTTATAATAATTTTAGGTATTGACGAAGACTTAGACATAGTTATAGTAGTGTTGAAATAATTCTCGTTTTAATCACGATGACCATAATAATACACTTCACCATAAGAAGTGGATAATTATGAAAAAAAATAACAAAAGAATAAGAATGGATCAAGTCGGCATTTTGAAATGAATGTTGTAGAAGTGACATAAAGGAACATTGGTCCATACTTATCGTATGCCAAAGCACTTCGTTGAAAAATAAAGAGTAAAATATAGAGTTTAATTTTATATATCAAAATGATGGTAATTGAAATTAATAACTTCTTAATTTCTCTATTTATAAATAAGATGTTTTATATTTTCTTATAATTTATATTACATACTGATAGTTATAAATTTATTATCCTATTTTTTTATTTATTTTTATGAAGAATATAATTATTTATTTTATGTTTATTTAATTATTTATTTGTGTTGATATTATATATGATAATATCAATCTACCGAAAAATTCTAGAAAAGCAATTATATTATTATGTGAAGCGATAAATTTTAAAGGTTCTAGAAGATCGAATATATTATTACTTGAAGAGATAACTTTTAAAGGCTCTAAAGGAGCGAATATATTGTTATATGAAGTGAAATAATTTAAAGGCTCTAGAAGGGTAAATATATTATTATCTAAAAGGATAAATTTTATTATAAATAATGTGTTATTCTCTCTAAAGTCTCATAGAAATTTGCTGATTTTCAAAGATATTTATCTAAATGGACATCATATCAAGACACCAAATATAAAAAAATATTGAATACTCTTCTATATAATTATTACATCATGTAGAAAATATGTATTGAAGAAATTATCTTTTTTTATTTTTTGATCTTTATTACAAATATTTGAATAATTGAAACAAATGCTATAGTAAATCAAAAGTTTACTAATTCAAATACTTATATTATGTGGCATGATCAGTTGGGTTATCCTAGGTCTTTCATGATGCAAAAAATTATTAAAAATCCATAAGAACATCTATTGAAGAGCCGAAGATTCTTCAATAATGTATTTTTATGTTTTGTATGTTTTTAAGAAAACAAATTATTAAGTCATCACCAATTAAAATTAAAATTGAATCTCTAGTATTTTGAAATGTATTCAAGGTGATACATATGGACCAATTCATCCACCAAATAGATCTTTAGATATTTTATGGTTTTAATAAATACATCCACAAGATGATCACATGTATGCTTATTATCTACTCAAAACTTAGCATTTTCGAGGTTGTTAATTCAAATAATTCGATTACGAGCATAGTTTCCAAATTATAATTAAAACAATCCATCTTGATAATACTAATGAATTTATCTCTCAAACATTAAATAATTATTTATTAGCTATTAGAATAAAAGTTGAATAGCCTATTGCTTATGTTCATACTCATAAAGGTTTAACGAAATCATTTATCAAAAGGCTCCAATTGATAGCTAAACTAAACTTCATGTTTATGTTTGAGGATATACAATCTTATATGTAGTAATATTTATTTGCATCGGACCCACAAGCTATTAGAAATTCTCTTCTCTTTAATTGGTTTTTGGTCATGAACCAAATATTTCTCATCTTAGAATTTTTAGTTATGCAAGTATATATCTTTAGTACTCCTCCACAATGAACTAAAATGGGTACTTAAAGGAGATTAAAAATGTACGTTGGATTTGAATCCTCTTTGATAATTAAATATCTTAAACCATAAATAAAAGATATTTTTACGAACTTGATCTAGTGATTGTCATTTTGATGAAACAGCTTTTTCAACACTAAGAGAAGGGAATAAGAAAAATAAGTAATCAAAAATATTGAAAAAAGAGATTACATGAAGTACTTCATCTTTACATCATCCGGATCCCGACACAAAATAATATGAACTAGAAATTTAAAAGATAATTCTTTTATAAAATCTTACAAACCAATTGTCAAATGCATTCTCAAATCCAAAAAGAGTAATTAAAACACATGTCTCTGCTGAAAATGCTCCTATTGGAATTCATGTCTCAAAAGAAAAATCTATTAATATTATAGTAAACAAATCTAAAATATGCGTGAAATATGAAAGACCAATCGATTCTAAAGATAAAAATCTCCAAATGAAAAGAGCAAATAATCAAGATGAAAATATAAAGGATGCAAATATTTACAAAATGATCTAATATATTTCGATCATAGGTTTTCAAAAGAAGTCCAAATGCTTGAAAAAAATAAGAGACTTTGATAAATTGTGTCAATAAAAGAAGAAAATAAGATTTTGAAAAGAAAATTTATTAATAAAGTTTTTGCATATAATGTTGCAATTAATATTTTAAATAAAAATAAGGATCCTAAGTCTAAATCTATTGAAGAATGTTAACATAGAGATGATTGGCTTAAATAAAAAGAACAATCAAAATAGAATTATGTTCTCTTACAAAAGGAGTAGTTTTTTAACCTATAGTCAAAACACCCGAAGATGTTAAGCTAGTGGGATACAAATAGGTATTTATATGAAAACAAAATAAGAAATGAGATTGTAAGATATAAAGCAAGACTTGTAACATAAGATTTTTTGCAAGGACCTCACATTGACTATAAATAGATATATTCTCCTATAATGGATGTAATTACATTTATTATCTCATTAGCTTGGCAAAATATATGAAAAAATTCATATGCATGCATTAATGGATGTGATCACACCTTATTTGTTCACTTAAAATGATATCTATATGAAAGTTCTAGAAAGACTTAAGATGCTTGAAGCATGTAATACACATTTCTAATAAATGTATTCAATTAAATTATGGAGATCTCTATAATGATTATTTTAGTATTTGTTTTATTACTTTATTTTTCAAAAATTTGATTTATGCTATACTTTTATATTTTATTTTTCAATATCTACTCTTTATTAATAACCTTTGTGCATGTGGTATTATCATCTCAATAAATATTTATTAAAAGAAGGTTATAAAAATAACCCAATTTATTCATGTATTTTTATAAAGAAATTTGGAAAGGGGTTTGTGATAATTCTTGTATATATTGACGATTTAAATATTATTAGAACTCTTAAAGAGATTTCAAGTGTCATAAGTTATCCGAAAAGATAATTTGATGTGAATACCTTGAGAAAATATATATATATTTTATCTTAACCTACAATTTGAGTACTTAAAGAATGAGATTTTTATTCATCAATCAATTTATATAAAAATGTTCCGCAATAATTTTATATAAATCTTATCCATTGACTAGCCTAATGGTAGTTCGTTTACTTGATACCCAAAATGATCCTTTTCGATTTCGAGAAGATAATGAAGAATTACTTGGTACTGAAGCATCATATCTTAGTTTAAGCGACGTATTAATATATCTTGCTAATAATACTCGACTCGATATAGCCTTTTCTCGTAAATTTATTAATACGACATAGTTCTACTCTAATACGAAGAAATTGAAATGGAATTAAATATTTTTTATATTATCTTCGAGGAAAAATTGACATGATATTTATTTTACTCAAATAAATCAATCTCGGGTTTTAATTAGATATATAAAAAAAGTTATTTATATGATCCATATAAAATTTGATCACAAACAGATTATATATTTACACATGGTGATATAGCTATATCATGATATTCTATGAAACAAACTATAGTCGATATATATTCAAACCATGTAGAAATACTAATTCATGAGACAAGTAGAGAATATATTTGGCTAAGACCAATGATCCATTATATTCTTGAGATATACAATTTATCTATCAAGCAAAGAACTTTCAATAATATTATATGAAGATAATGCTACTTGTATAAATCAA